GCTAGTTTATTGTCCGGTTTGTCTGCGCCGACTTTCTTTTTGTAGATTCGGCACAGGACCCAGTCGTCCAGCTGAAAAATGACACGTGCCACAAATAATCAGTCAGGATATTTAATTCTTTAAATATCTCCTAATTAATAATTCAGGGGGAGAAAACCCCTACCGTTTATTATTAACTCTTTTTTCCGTGGGCGTAAAAAATTAGAATGTGAAATTTACTGTTAGCTTTTTCGATAAGCATTTAGATAAAGAGGATTTCTAACGCTGGAACGGGCTTAGCATGACGGTAGGAGGTTCCATAAAATTTTCAAAAAAGTAACAATAAAAACACACAATTTTGATTGAGGACATAAATTATACTTTTAAGTATCCTTCAAGTTTGTAATTAATATAATTTGAATTTAAGTATTTAACCTTTGCTCTTCTTTAAAGTTCAACGGAGAAGAGAGAATTAGAAAAGACTTTTCGAAGGCAGAATTTTATCCGAAAACATGAATTTGATTGAAAGTTTTACTCACCCGAAGGCTGTTCTTCTTGCGAGCCGACCGGTCCACGTCAGCGAGCCTGTACTCGTGCATGATCCAGTTGGTTTTATCCCCCTTCGGAGCTTTCCCGGCATAAAAAACCAGCGCTTTCTTAATCGCCACCGGTTTAGGCGACCCGACCGGTTTAATCGGCTCCGGTCGCCTTCCAGTAACCCCGACCGGCTGACCGGTTCGGTCGCGACCCGTTCGGATATTTCCGGTCTCTTGGTGAGAAAAAATACCACTCTTTGTCCCCATACAACGCCATCCCTGTAAATTCGTGAATTAGTTGGGGGGCTAAAATGAAATTTCCCCGGAATAAAAATAAATTATGGGATTTTGCCTGTGTATCCAAAATCTAATCTTATTTGCAGATTTATCTTTAAAATTACTCATGTTTTCTGATTTATGCCCACCGCTTAACAGATATCAGATATTATAGATAAATATCGCAAAGGGGATAAAATTTTGGGAGGCCAAGGCAAAAAAAAATCCTAAAAAACTAATTATTTGCTTGCCTGGGAGCTGCCAGGGGTCGAATTTGTAGAGATCAATTTCCGCGATTATCGACACGGCGAGGGATAACCCCGCACATTTTCGACATAAATAGTGCATCACCAACTCCTCGTCCGTTGGATGGAATCTGAATCCGGGAGGTAATTGCAAATCTCCACTGCCCATTTTGCAAATTGCGAGCTCTCCCCTTTTCTTTCACTTTAGCCCCTCTCGATTTGATGTTGTTAGAAGCCGGAAGATTGAAAGTCTTAGCTGCTGCGGAGCGGTATATTTATAGGGAGGAGAAGAGAGAAGCGCTGATCTGGATAAAGACAATTGTCGAGCTTCGTAGAGCTACTGGAAGCCCGCGCGTGGCCCCCACGCACGTCACCGCTTGCGCCAGCGCTTTGTCTCTTGTACACGTCACCGCCTCCAAACGGTTCGCGGGGCGCCACGTTAGCGGGTGGCGTTGCATTGTGATATGTACGAGTAAAAAGGCCGTACGTTCTCACTTCGGTGGGTGGGGCCCGCCGAGTTTTTGCTAGCACTGAGGAGACACGTGTTGAGAAGAACACGGAGCCCTGGCGAAGTTTTGAAGAAGGGGGCGGCGACGTTGTTGGTTTTTGAGGGAGGTTTTCGGACTGGAGCTGTCGTTTTCTTCTTATTTTTTTATTTTTTTTCCCCTGGTGTTTTTGTGGGTAGTGGTCTTGGTCTTGTTTCACGTTTGAAATTTCGATTTACATCCTGGCTCTCGTTGAAAGATCCAGTGACATTATTATAAAATGGGTGAGGATTGACTGTAGGAGTAGGATGGGTAGGTGTGTGCGTGGAGATGAGGAGCAACCCATCATAAGGATACAGCGGTTGAGTGTAAAAAAAAATTAGTAAGATTTTTTTAGGGAAAATTGCTTCTAACCCGCAAAACGAGTTCATGTGTCCCCCCCACCCCAACCCAAGGACTTTGTAATTTTTTTCAAAATGCCATTTGATTTAACCGCCTCCCGTTTATCTAAACCATTCCTCGTCGTTCGTGTCGTTTCATTTGTCTCTGTCCAAGTTAACCGACTCCTGAGCATTATCCCCATTGCAAAACTCTAGCCCTAAATTATCCCACTTCAGAGCATAATCGAAAAAAATGACCGGCGATTCAACTTCCAAATCAGTCGTTCCTTTTGATTTCAGTGAAGATGATGACGCGTCATAGTACGTCGTCTCAAAAAGACCTTCGATCACAGAAGAGTGGACTGAAGCTGGCGCTTCAATTGCTGATGTTTTAGAGGACATCGTCGTTAGTCACTCTCACCCAACGTGTCCAGCTCAATCCAAAAAGTCAATCCCCCGCCCAGATCTAGAGGGCATCACCGGCACCGATAACGCCTCTAGAGCGCTCCTGGATCTACAGAGAGGATCAAAAGAGAAGTATACGACAGCAAAAAAACAATAATTTTTACCCCAAAATTTATGTTGTTTATGATATTGCATGATGTATAAATTGTGAAGGATACTTCTAAGTTGTGAAGGTTAGCTTGTAGTTGTAAGGAAATTCATTAATTATTAAAGTTATGCATTAGTTGTGAAGGCTATTATTTAGTTGTGACATGTGGCCCCTTAGTTGTTAAGGTTAAGGGTTATTTGTTAAGGTTATGAGTCTGTTATGAATGTTACTGTTTACATGCGGCTGTTAGTCATGAAGGTTATTGTTGACGTGTGACTGTTAGTTGTGGAGGTTACTGTTTACTTATGGCTATTAGTTGTGAATGTTACCGTTAACTTGTAAGGGTTATGCTTTTATTGTTAAGGTTATGCATTAGTTGTTGATGTTATTGATCTGTTGTGAATGTTACTGTTTAGTTGTGACATGTGGCATGTTAGTTGTTAAGGTTAAGCGATAGTTATTAAGGTTATGAGTCTGTTGTGGATGTTACTGTTTATATAATGCTGTTTATTGTGAAGGTTACTATTGACGAGTGACTGTTAGTTGTGGAGGTTACTGTTTACTTGTAGCTATTAGTTGTGAATGTTATTGTTAACTTGTAAGGGTTATGCTTTTATTATTAAGGTTATGGATTATTTGTTGGGAATAGGCTTTGGTTGTGAAGCTAATGGATTTGTTGTTAAGTTTACAGTTTCTTTGTCAAGTTTATAGCATAATTATTATGGTTACAGATTATTTTCAAACTATTTATGTATTGTGATTTTGCTTTGTAGACAAAAGGCAAAGTTCACATTTGAATTGTGGCCTACTTCCAACTTCACTGTCTACTAT